GGAAATATTCAGGCTGTTGGTCCCCTCAGAGTAGCTGGCAGTCTACTGCTCCAACCATCTCCGTACTCACTGTTTTCATTCAGGTTTTTCCACTAGTTGGTGCCTAATCCACTTCTGTATACTTTCTTTCAAAGCCCAGAGCTCTGGGATTATCTTCTGTATCTCTGTCAATTGGTTTCTCTTTTCTTTGTTGAAGAAGGTCTGTGTAGTTATCTGCCTACTCCTCCATCTTCCTTGATAAACTTTAGATCAAGAATCTCTTTCATATACTGTGGGCAGGAATATTAACTAGTATATCCTCTTTGGGGAGCAATTTAACAGTATCTATCAACACAATAGATTAAACACTCAACTGACAGCTGAAAAGGTTGGCGGTTTGAGCCCACCCAGACATATGCTGGAAGACAGACCTGGTGATATGCTTCTAAAAGGTCATAAAACCCTGGGAAATCCTGTGGAGCAGTTCTATCCTACATACATGGGGTTGCCACGAGTCAAAATCAACTTTTCAGCAACTAACAACAACAACAACAATCAAAACACGTGGAGTCCCTGGGTGGTGCAAAAGATTAACGTGTTGGCTGCTAACTGAAAGGTTGGAAGTTTGAATCTAACCATAGGCACCTAGGAATAAACCTGGAAATACACTTGTGAAAAAACAGCCATTGAAAATCCTGTGAGCACAGTTCTACTCTGACACACATGGACTTGGAGTCATTGTGACATGGTTATTTGGTTGATCAAAATGTACACCTTTTGATGAAATCCACTTCTCAGAATTTACCCTACAGACATACTCAAATATGTGCAAAATTATATATGTATACAGTTATTTTTGCAGCATTGTGTACAGCAACAAGACTGGAAACAACCTAAGTGTCCATCTCCAAGATGCTGGCCAAATAAATTATAGTACAGTCATGTGATAGAATACTAGGCAGCATGGGGAACCTCTTTATGAAATAATATGAAACACTCTCCAAGGTATATTGTTTTATGAATATAGGTGCAGAATTGTGTGTATAGTATGCTACAATTTATATATTTTAAAGGAAAAATATACAAATATATTCCTGCTTAAACAAGCATAAACTATTGCTAGAAGAAGACACAAGAAATTGGTAACATCCTGTTGCCTCCTAGCTAGAACAAGGATGGGAGGGAGACCGTCCTCTACATATCCTTTTGTACATTTGTAATTTCTACTATGAAAATGTACTACTATTCCAAAATTAAATAAATAAATAAAATGTATTAAGATAGAAGTTTTATCAAATCTGTATAATGGGGTATGATGCAATCATTGAGAATGATGTTTCTGAAGAATTTCTCATGACCCAGAAAAACTTATATATTCAATGGAAAAAAAAAAAGGCAGAACACAAAATTGAGTTACGAGTGACTTCAATTTTCCTCTTTTTTATATTTTCTAAATTGCCTGTAAAACAAAACAAAACAAAACTCACTGCCATCAAGTCAGATCCGATTCATAGTGACCCCTCCTTGGTTTCCGAGGTGGTATCACTATGAAAGTAGATTGGCCAATCTTCCTTCCGAGGAGTGGCTGTGAGTTTGAACTGCCAGCCCTCTGGCTAGCAGCCCAATGCCTTAGGCACTATGCTACCAGAACCCCAAAATTGTCTGTAGTAGAAATATATATATATATATATATATATATATATATATATATATATATATATTTTTTTTTTATTACAAAGACAGAAACAAAACAAAACAAAACAAAAATGCCTGTCCATGTGATTCTCAAATCTGACTCTCCATCTCACATCTTCCCTGGACTCCAGCCCCTTATTTCTGGAGGCTTCTGGACATCCATGCTCCACAGGTGGCAATCTCAGCTTCCCCAACCAGCGACCCACAAACTTACTCCTTCTTTAAATTTAAATTTAACTCAGAGCCCTGATGGTGCAGTGGTTAAGTGCTCAGCTTCTAACAGAAAGATTCAAAACCACTTAGCGGCTCTGTGGGAGAAAGACTTGGTGATCCAATCCCAGAAAGATTATGACCATAAATACCAAAAGGAGCACTCCTACTCTGTCACGTGGGGTCACTACAAGTTTGAATTGACTCAGTGGCACACAGCAACAACTATCACAACATAATCATTGTAAATCATATAGCTATCATCTTGACTTCTTTCTCCCTTGCTCCCATCTTCCCCTCACCAAGTCTTTTCCCAAACTGGACACAGAGTCCTACTGATGCCACATCTATAACCTTATCTCTGAGTATAGTATCCTCCTTCCCATTTCTATTACTCCTGCCAAAGGATGGACCCTTACTATTACCCCTCATCAAAATCACAGCACCTGCCTCATTACTGCCAGTCATGTCCTGCCTCAACTGGGGCGTATTTCTAAAATACACATAGACTGGATAATATTGTTCCTCTGTTCCACACCCTCTGATAGTTCCCCACTGCAGTAAAGTCACACTTATAATATGGCATTCAAGGACCCCAACCTAACTTTCTAGCCTCAGTCCTAACACTCTTCCATCATCATGTCTGCTCTCAGGCTGTTTCTCTGAGCACCTCATATATTTTCACATGTTTATTCCTTCTGATCCAAGAGAATGTGGAAATCATTGAACAATATCATTAATATCACATACAAGTAAAATTGTGAAGATAATTCAAAAACTGTTGCAGCAGTATATTGACAGGGAACTTCCAGAAATTCAAACTGGATTCAGAAGAGGATGTGGAACAATGGATATCATTACTGATGTCAGATGGATTTTGGCTGAAAGCAAAGAATACCAGAAAGATGTTAACCTATGTTTTATTGACTATGCAATGGCATTCAACTGTGTGGATCATAATAAATTATGGATAACATTACAAAAAATGTGAATTCCAAAACATTTAATTGTGCTCATGAGGAACATGTACACAGTCTAAAAGGCTGTCATTCAAGTAGAATAAGGTTATACTAAATAGTTTAAAATCAAGAAGGTATCCCTCAGGGTTGGATCCTTTCACCATATTTATTCCATCTGTATGCTGAGCAAATAATCTGAGAAGCTGGATTATATGAAGAAGAATGTGGCATCAGGATTGCAGGAAGACTCACTAACACCTACCATATGCAGATGACACAATGTTGCTTGCGGAGAATGAAGATGATGCAAAGCCCTTACTGATGAAAATCAAACACTACAGTCTGCAGTATGGATTACACCTCAACATAAAACAAATGAAAATCCTCAGAACTGGACCAATAAACAACATCACAATAAGTGGAGAAAAGATTGAAGTTGTTAAAGATTTCATTTTACTTGGATCCATAATCAACACCCATGGGAGCCGCAGTCAAAAAATCAGATGTCATATTGCACTGGGATCATCTGGTACAAAAGATCTCTGAAAAGTGTTCAAAAGCAAAGATATCACTTTGAAGACTAAGGTATACCTGACCTAATCCATGGTATTTTCAATTGCCTCATATACATGTGAAAGCTGGACAATGAATAAGGAAGACCAAAGAAGAGTTGATGCCTTTGAGTTGTGGTGTTGGGAAAAAATACTGAAAATACCATGGACTGCCAGAAAAACAAACAAATCTCCTGGATGAAGTACAGTAGAATTCTCCTTGGAAGTGAGAATAGTCAGACTTCGTCTCACTTTCTTTTGTCTTGTTGTCAGAAGGGACTATTCCCTGGAAAAGGATATCATCCTTGGTAAAGTAGAGGGTCAATGAAAAAGGGAAGACCCTCAATGAGATGGATTGAGACAGTGGTTGCAACAATGACCTGAAGCACAGCAAGTATTGTAAAGATGGTACAGGACTAGGCAGTGTTTCATTCTGTGGGACAAAGGGTCACTATGTCTCAGAGCCAACTCAGGGGCACCTAACAACAACATTCCTTCTGTCTAGGATACCAGTAACAATCTCTGCTTAGAAAATACCTTCTTCTCTTTCAGACACAGCTTCAAATGTCCCTGCATTAGCGAAACTTAGTGGTCCTCTCTATCTTTTACAGAAAAAATATACTACTCTGTATTCCCATATTACCTCATTCCTAAGGCAACCTTGTTCCTCGTAGTGTATCAAAGGAAACTATATATGGTCTATCATATCCCCCAAAGTGTAAGCTTACCTATGACAAGGCTGAGACATTATTCATTAGTAGTTTCAAGCCTTGGCACCGTGAACAGACTATAAGAAAGACACAATAAATTGCTTCTGAATAGAAAGCATAGTAAAGTTGACAGGAAAATCATTCAAAATAAAATTTCACTATGCACACAACTTTTCTCTCATAAATCTAATGTTGCAGTGAAATCCAGTTGCTTTACTATTTAAGCTCTGAATCATTCAACCCAGGATATTTTAAAACATTTTTCTGCACATGCAAACACCTTACAATGAGCATACAAGTTCATACTAATTCATTTTAGAGGTTAATTTACATTGAGCTGGCCTGAAAATCCTTATATTTATTTAATGCCTAGAGCACTAGTCTTTCATTCACGAAGTTCAAAAGAAGATGAACAGACGCCTTTAAACTTTCCAAATATTTTCCAGTCAGGCTAAACAAAACAAAGAACATTTCACTGGAAATGCATGCTTTTGTTTAAATGATTAGTAAGTTAAAATTAGGGGTAAAACCACGGACATTGTGCTGTGATATATTTAGATTCAGAGTCCCCAAAGGGGAAAAAAAATCAAAGGAATCTCTTTACTCTTATTTGTAATGAAATGTAAACCAGTCTTCAATGGAAGGCAGACCTCTCCTTTCACGGGGTGTGTGTCATATTAACCAGACAGCATTCACTGTCATATAAATTCTCCTCAGTGTTTTTAGTAGACAAAGGAATTCCTCAGTGCGTTTTCTCACTTCAGTTCTGGGTCCTTAAGCCAATGAAATATCTTGAAACAGCTTTTCAGCAGTTGAAAGGGCCCCCAAAACCCATTTTCAGCATTCACTTTCAAAGTATTGGTGAGCCTCTCTTTGTTCCCAATTTTGACAAGTACCTGATCAGGCCTCCCATCTGTCAGAAGGTAGATTACTTGTGTTTCTTTATCAGCAAAAGCAATTTGCAGAGCATTCAGAGTGTTTGTGGAGCTGCCAACCTACAGGAGAGAGAGAGAGAGAATAAATTATTTTGAGTTACACACATAGAGTTCTCAGATCCTCTGCACTGTGTTCCACATTTGCCAAACTAGGGAGATTGGAATCTGAATAAGTCTAAGCACGGAGCTGACTCTGGAGTGAAATAAATGCAGAAATCCCGCAAAGAGATAGTATAGTGGCCCACAGGAGCTACTGAAGGGAAGGGGTGCAGGTCTCCAGGGGCTGAAGTTCTGTTGGTTGCTCACCACAAGATACTAAGCACACACTTGATTCTCAGAAAAGAACTCAAAAGCAAGACTTACTAATTTACAACTTCCAAACAAAAAAAAAAAAAAAAAAAGGAGGAGGAGGGAAGATACTTGTAAAATAAAAGATAAGTTATACTGAGATAATGATTTGAGCTCAAGTGACATCAAGAAGTCAAATCCCTAGGTGTGCCTTAAAAGCATCTGGCCAGACAGTCCAAAGACTGCTAGAAGACAAGACTATGGATTTTCTGTCTTGAAGACCTAGTTTTTTTTGAGGGGGAACATTTTATTATGCTTTAGGTGAAAGTTCACACAGCAAATTAGTTTTCTATTCAATAATTCATAAACAAATTGTTTCTTGTCATTGGTTGCAATCTCCACAATATGTCAGCAATCTCCTTTTTTCCACTCTGGGCTCCCCATTTCCATTTGTCTGGTTTTCCTGCCCCTCCTTGCCTTCTCATCTTTGCTTTTAGGCAAATATTGCCCTTTTGGTCTCAAATAATTGATTGTTCTACAGAGTACAGTCCTCACAGGTGTTACTGTTTATTTTATAGGCCAATCTATCATTTGGTTCAGAGTGGGCTCCAGGGGTGGTCTCAGTTCTGTGTTAGAAGAGTAACTTAGGGCAACAGTCTTGGGGGTTCCTCCAGCCTATTGGACCAGTAAATCTGGTCTTATTTATTTATTATGAATTTGAATTTTGTTCTACATTTTTCACCTATATTAACCAAGACTTTCTACTGTGTTCCTGGTCAGAGTGTAGCCAGGCATCATCTAATTCTTCTGGTCTCAGGTTACAGGAGGCTGTAGTTTATGTGAGTCATTAGTCTTTTGGGCTAATTACTTCCTTGAGTCTTTGGTTTTCTTCACTCTCCTTTGCTCTGGATGGGAAGAGACCAATAGTTGAGTCTTAGATGGCTGCTCATAACCATTTAAGACCTCAGATGCTACTAACCAAACTAGGATGTAGAACATGATCTTTATGAGCACCAATTAACCTAGATGTCCCCTGAGACTATAGACTTCAGCCTTCTAGCCCAGTGGCTCAGTCCTGCAAAGTAATGATATGTCTAAGAAGTCTCCATAACTGTGCCCTCTATGTGCTTTATTATATACGTACATGTATCCATGCAGATGTAGTCCCATAACCTCCCACACCTATTTAGCATATATATCTACTTGTGTATCCACTCACAAATTATTGTTCCTTATTACTGTTGTTGCAGGAATGTATATATTATAGTATTTACTATAATTGGCCTTTATCTTTACACACCTTTCAGTGTCTTCCTTTGATTTGGTCACACTGGGCCCATATTGTGTATTGCTTTCCCGTCATCAGAATTAATACATGTCTACTATCCCACCCTTCTCTTCCCATCCCTGGCAACCATCAAAGACTGTTTGTTTCTGTGTGTAATCCTACTTTTTATAGTAATGGTCTCATAAACTATTTGTCCTTTTATGGTTGACTTATTTTACTTAGCATAATGTCCTCCAGACACATCCATGTTGTGAGATGTTTCACAGATTTATCATTATTCTTTATCATTGTGTAGTATCCTGTTGTATGTATGTACCAAAATTTGTTTATTCTTTCATCCATTAATAAACATTTAAGTTTATTCCATATTTTTACTGTTGTGAATAATGCTGTAATGAACCAAAAAGAAACTAACTCATTGCCATTGAGTCAATTCCAACTCATAGTGACCTCCTTTGGGTTTCCGAGGTGGTGAATTTTACAGAAGTAGATTGCCCAGTCTTTCTTCCCTGAGTGGTTGGTGGGTTTGAACTGCCAACCTTCTTGTTAGCAGTCAAATGCCTTTGGCACTACGCCACCAGAGCTCCTTGCTGCAGTGAACATGGGTGTGCATATGTCTATTCATGCTACAGCTCTTATTTCTCTAGGATAAATACCTAGAAGTGGGATTTCTGGGTCGTATGGTTATTTCTATTTTTAGCTTTTCCATACTGTTTTTCATAGTGAATGTACGATCTTACAACCCCACCAATAGTGTATAAAAGTTCCAATCTCCTCACAACCTCACCAGCATTTGTTATTTCCATTTTTTTGATCAGTGCCATTATTGTTGGGGTGAGATGGTTTCGTTGTAGTTTTGATTTGCATCTCTCTAAATGGGAGCTCTGGAGGCATAGTGCCTAAGACATCTGACTGCTAACCAGAAGGCTAGTGGTTCACATCCACCAGCCACTCCTCAGAAGGAAGATGGGGCAATCTACTTCCATAAAGATACCACCTAGGAAACCCAAGAAGGGGTTGCTATGAGTTGGAAACAACTCTACGGGAGTGAGTTTGGTTTTACTTTTGGTAATGGCTAATGACTGCAAGCAGCTCCTCATGTGTTTGATAGCTGCCTGAATGTCTTTTTTGGTGAAGTGTCTGTTCATGTCCTCTGCACACTTTCTAATTGGATTTTTTGTCCAATTTTAGATATTAGACCCTTGTCAGATATGTCATTGGCATTTTTTTTTTTTTTTACCCCCAGTCTGTAGGTTCTCTTTTTACTCTTTTGGTGAAGTCTTTTGATGAGTATAAGTATTTAATTTTCAGAAGGTCCTAGTTATCTAGTTTATCTTCTGCTGTTTGTGCATTTAGAGTCCCTAACTTTATCCCTATTATGACTTAGCTCTTCATGTAGTTTTATCTCTGTGGTTTCTGTGTGAGACACTAATTCAGTTATTGTTCACTCAACTGTTGACAGAGCTTAAGCATGAAGCTTGAGTATACCTTGGCAGGGATCACATCTGTTTCAACTAGACTTTATTCATGATGTCCAATGTTTGGCAAATATCAGTGTGGTATCATTAGCAATTTAATGGACACACCTAACATAACTTCCTTCCACAGAGGTTCCAGTGAAATAAAAACTTCAAGTGCATGGCCATGCTAATAGATCTTACACATATGAATGTATGGTATTGGATGTGGGACTTTAAATGTGCTACTTTACATATGATAGGAATAAATAAGCAAAATCAGAATCAATCAAAGGGAGTAAGTCATGGCCCATTCAAGCCCCCTACGCTTAACATCTATCATATCAGCCATGATTCTTCAAGCAAAATAAATAAATAAATAAAAGAACAGACAAAATATACACATTGTATTTCAAATTAATGATAGGGAGATTTTTAGCAATCTTTCAAATTATATTAAATAATTACAAATTGGAAAATTTCTTAAACACTTCATCAATATAGAAAGGAATATATTTTTAGATAAATATAAATTCACTGTAATGTACTTTCCCTAATATGCAAAAATGATCCTACGGAGAGACAGTAAGCAGATTATTCAGGGCTTTGACTTGCTTGAAAATTCTTCTCTGTGAGTTGTTACTAAGCCCACTATTTGGTGTCACTATCTCTCAACTAAAGCTTAAGGCACATTACTCCACCCTAGTTTAAAGGGGTCAGAACTTTCAACTTTCATAGATGAAAAGCTCTGCCTCCCATATCAGGGTAAGAAGACAGTACAAAGTAAGCAACATGGCAGGCCACTTGTTCAAGTCCAGGAACCAGAGATAAAGACTCACCCAAAGACAGGAGCTCTGGTGGTGCAGTGCCTAAAGCATTTGTCTGTTAACCAGAAGGTTGACAGTTCAAACTCATCAGCTGCTCTGTGGGAGGAAGATGAAGAAGAGGTGGTCTACTTCTGTAAAGAATTACAGCCTTGGAAATCCAAAGGATGTCTCTATGAGTTGGAATCTACTTGATGGCAGTGGTTCTTTTTTTTTTTTTGACATTGCTAGATCAAATGCTATTTATATTTCCAACTTTTAAAGGTAGTGCCATACCATTTTCCACAGTGGTTACATCAATTACAGTGCCTCTATGGTGTAGTAAATTACTTAGTGTGGCTTTTCTACCCATAAGTCTTTGTAAACTCCAAGGTAGGATTTTCTATGAGCAACTGAGGAGCTCCTGATTGCTGAAGGTGTCCACCTGGAGTATTTCTGTTGGGCGTGGCACCAAACAATGTTCTGGGAGGTGCCCACTCTCTCTCAGGTGCTTATAGTTCTGATGCTATGATTGGCTAGTTTGACCACCCTGCCGGGCTCAAAAGGAGGCCTCCTAGAGGCAGAAATCTGTCTCTGACTGCTGGTTGAGGAAGACGTTCTGCCAGAAGAGACACACGCCCCTGAAAGAGACACGTGCTGCTGGGAAAGAGACGCAAGAAACACACATTGCTGAGTGAGACATCAAGGGACTAGCACTGCTGGGAAAGAGACTGTGAGAGACTGTTGGCTGAGGGACGGTGGGCTAGGAGAGAGGCTGAGCATTTTTTCCTGAACTTGAATTGTAGCCTGTGGTGCTTCCCTAATAAACCTCATAATTTGTGAGCTCTGTGTGGCCACTGCAGTGAATTATCGAACCCAGGAGAGAGGTGGTGGGTGCTTTGGGAGGAACGGTTGGTGAAAGGGCTGGAGGGAGGCAGCATGTCTGGCCTTGCAGTAATAGGCCTTGTGCTATTGATGGTGATTCTGCCTTCCTCTTGTGGGATTAGAGGAGGTCAGAACATGTGGCCTCCCTGCCGTTTTTGCAGCCACCAACAGTGTATGAGAGTTCTAATCTCTCCATATCCTTACCACTATCTGTTGTTTTCTGCCTTGTTGAACTTTGCTATTATTGTTTTGGTTTTGTATTGTATTATTGTTTTGATTTGCAACTCTCTAATGACTCATGAGGAGCTCTGGTGGTGTAGTGCCAAAGGCATGTGACTG